AGGCGCCGTGAAAAGAAGCAAAACGAAGGGTGAAAAATACCACTTTGCCCCGATCCCCCCCGGCGCCACTGCGCTTCCGCGGCGGCGTGGCGGGAGGGCGCGGGGCGGGGGCACGACGAGGCGGGGCGCCGGGCGCTCGCCCCGGGGCGCCGAGCCGAGCCGTGGCCGCGGGAGCCCCACGAGGCGCCCCTCCCGCCGAGAGCTGCCTCCGAGCTCCGCTTGCCCACCTCGCGCGACTTCTGCAACTCGGCTGCGCGCTCGCCCTTCCGCGGCGCATCCACGCACCTTCCCAAGCCCGGGCCAGAGGTTGTCTCGTGCGACAGCTCAGCCTGGTCTGTGTTAAAGTCCGAATTGTTTGTTTGGTTGGTTGGTTCTCTGTTTGAGAGCTCCCTGGTTTCACCATGCCCCTTCCCTCCAATGCTCGAGGCACCCAAGAATAGCAAGGGCAACATTTTAACGTGGAAACTTGATTAAAACGAAAACATCCCAGGCGCCGTGAAAAGAAGCAAAACGAAGGGTGAAAAATACCACTTTGACTCGCCCACCCCATGGCTTGCTTGAAGAAAAACGTCTCTGACACGAGAAGGCGATGTGGTGCCTCTTGGACTTCGATTCCCATAAGCTCTGGCCAGCGTGGCCAGTGGCCGCGCCTTCTAGGAACTGGAGAACTGGGGATGCCCAGTTTGGGGAGGTGGCTGCAACTCCGTGCGTGCGTGCGTGCGTGCGTGCTCTTTGCCCCTCTGTGTCAAACAGCACATCCGAGGTGGGCTTCTGTGCCCATGTTTTCGGTGTACATGTGAAAGTGTGCTATTGCGTGAAAGAAACAAAACTCCTTGGATGCACGTTTCTTATGGCAACATGGGACCACACTGGACCTGAGAGAACAAACTCCCGTCTGTCTCCCCCAGTTGCATGTACAGCAGAGCCAGGCACAGGACCTAAAACCTGAAAGGTGGCCTGGATGTTCTGACCCCCTCTGTGTTGTTTTCGCAGGTGCTTTGTTGCCACCTGTCTCACTCCCCATGCTGAAGTCTGGTGGGATAAGGAAGGAATGGTGCTGCAGGAGCGATGCTGTGGTGCTCAGGAACCTGGGACCAGGGATTCCTTTCCTGCAGCCTCATCACAGCTGCCTGCCCAATTGATGTTGGAGGTTTAATGTAGCAAAAGCTTGAAACAAAATAGTTGTCACTGCCTGAACGGAAGTACAGCCTGATCTATAATCTTGGCTTGGTTTCAGCAGCGGCCCTAAATTGCTTTGGTCCAAATATTTCGCCTTAACCAGGTCAGGGTGGATCAATGCCGGGGCGGTTGGGTAGCTTGATTCACAAAGCACTTCAAAGGCAGCCGCTTAACTTAATCTGCTTCTTTTATGGATTTCAGTAGCCATGGCTTGCAAGCCAAAGTGCACTTTTGTGTGTGCCCAACCATGTGTGTTGATAGGGAATGCGCGAAGAGTCTTGCGTGATCAGAGCCGGAGGCACAACTTACCTCGTACGGTGATACCTCAGCTCATGAATGCCGTGGTTCACAACCAAATCGGGTCACAAACAAAAATGTCATGAAAATTTTGACCTGGGTCCCTAACTCCGCATTGGGTGATGACCGAGATCACAGCCATCTCCCCACCCCACTGAGTGGGGAGATGGCCACGATCACAGTTGTGTTCATGCAGGGAAGACATGTGTGATCATGGCCGCGTTCCTGCAGGAAAGATGGGCTCAATCTCGGCCATCTGCCCCCTCCACCCTGTGCTGTGCTACTCAGGGGGAACGTTATGGGGAAATTTGACTTGGCTCGTGACCAAAAATTGGTTCACACCAGAGTCATGGAATGAATTAAGTTCGTGAGCCAAGGTACCTCTTTACTCAGTGGGCAGCCCGTTGCGGTTTCTGGAAGCGATCACTGTGCAAGTAGAATACCAAAGCTCTTCTTTGTTATCGTCCTCAGTGTTGGATATTCAGAAGTGAACTGTCTGTGCACAGAGAAGTACCATTTTGTTATGGCTAATAACTGATAGAGCTATCCTCCATAAATTGGCATCGTCTCTTTGTAATGCCATGTGGAGTGCCCTCTTTTGCATGTCTGTTCAGGTGGAAGTCCCATTCAGTTAATGAATGTTACACCCAGGAAACTGCCCATAGAATTAAAGCCATAAACGAGTGGCCACCAGTCAAACTTGTGGAAGGGAGTCTTGAGATCGATTTGAGTTGTGACTCTTGCAAGGAGCTACTTTGTGTTTTCAGTCCTGAACTTAGTGGCAATTGCTTCTGTTGGGAGAACCGAAGCTGGGGCATTGTGTGAGAGGAACAACATGTGTGGGTAACACTATTGCATGCATCCACTCCTCTCTAGGTTGACACTTAGGGAAATTATGCAACACACTAGTTTGTACTGTTTGGTTGCTGGTGTGATAATTTGGGAGTGCTGGTGACACCATGACCAGGGGAGATCTACACTAGGAACTTCTACTGGCACTGTAATGCCTAGCTGGCATGTCACACGCTGCCCAAGTGTTCCTGGAAACTTTTCCATTACATCGCCCTGCAGTGATTCCCTGGATGCCTTGTCTGCTTTGGCTAAAGTTACCTGCAAGAGCTGTTGTGACATGTAGATCCAGCAAGCAGGGGTTGTTTGAGGGATGGACAACCCTTAACCCTAAAACATAACATGGGTTCTCATGCCAACAAACCATGGCAAGGTGGTGGTGAGCACCATGAATTTGGGATTTGCTGATGTTTAGCATGAATCAATTTCCTCACAGGTAAATTAAGGGCATCACATTATGCAAACCAGAAGCCTATGTTGAATATATTGGTGCTTTTATTTTCATAAAGGTTTTGGAGAAGGCAAGGTTCAAAAGACTTATCTCTGTTTCTCTTGCTCTGTAAGTGAGATTTGTGCTTTTTGACATGTGTAATTTATTAAAACGGTATATTTCTCCTCTCTGCACTTCTTTTCACAGATAAGCAGCTTGCCCTCTTGGTATGCTTTGGCTTGTTTCTTCCTGCAAAGTTAGTGTCAGGGAAACTGGTTGGCATTAGAATGTGAGCATAAGAGAGAATTAATCCTTCAAGCCATCCACTTCTGCTGGGCACTGCTCCACTACCCTCTTTCCTTGTTACATGGAAACACTGAGGGACTCGGAAGGGGTCTTCTGGGCCATCTAGTCTGTCCCCTGGTTCCAGCCAGCTCCAGTCATGACATGCCTACCATGTGCATGTCCAGCCCATCCTTGAACACCCTCACCGTTGGGGCTTCAACCACCTCCCATAGAAGCCCTTTCCATACCCTAGGGGTCCTAACCATCAGGAAATACTTCCTGGTCATCTAGTCTGACCCCCGGCTCCAGCCAGCTCCACTCATGATGTGCCTGTTACAATCAGAACCTTTTACAAATGTCAACACAAATTTTCAAGGAAGTCCGCTTTTCAAACTCATTGGCCTTTGAAGCATCCCAAGACTCAGCTGCCGATGCTCGGACTGTTCAACTTATTTGTGGGGGGGGGGGGGGAGGTTGTTTTCCTTATTCAACAGGCACTTGCTTGTACTTCTGCTTGTCCTCTCCGAGCTGTTCTAGGTGAACTCCCCGTCCCTTTTCTCGGTGGATGTAGCGATGCTTTTAGCCCGAGCATGACTCCAAATGTCTTGCCTGCTATTGTTGGGAGGGTTTCAGCTGTTGAGCTGTAGCATAGTTGCTGTGAAAATGCACTTTCCCTCTCTTCCCCTTTCCTCCACTTCCAGCCGTTACTTCTTAGCATCACTCTTGCCGAGTGAAATGAGGCGATGCAAATGCCAAGGGTGCTTACTGAGATAATATCTTTGACTTCATTGGTAGGGAAGAATCAAAGGTCTTCCCTCACATTCCATGCCATTTTTGCTTGTAGCATTCATGAGCAATGAAAGAGCAGGCAGCACCCTATGCTGGCTGCTGGAAACCAGAGGATCTGGGGGCCAGTTTTCCCACCACTGAATTTGTGCTGTGTTCCCCCACCCCCAGTTTCAGTGCTGGGCATCAGAACAGTTGTATTTCTCCTTAAAATAAGGTGCACAGTGAGTGCAGCCCTTGCTTTTTAAGGCCAATTGTGCCCCTGGCAAACCTGAAAGAGCGTGGCTTGCCCATGCTTGAACTCAACAAAGTAAAAGATAGGGCCTGCTGAACGTGGATCATTCTTCGAGTTCCTTTCTTTTGAGAGGCTTATAGATGCCTTATCAAAGTTTAGGAACAGCAAAACATCAGATATAAAAAATAAAATACTGATTGCAACAAGCCACATAGAGAGCTTCAACTATTGGGTGCTATGCTTGATGATGATGATGATGATGATGATGACGACGACGACAACTATACAACAACAACAACACAGGTGTTAAGAATTCATCAAATGAAACCCTTGGGCCAGAACAGGGGTAAGTTAAATGGCAGGGTGGGTGATGTGGGTTCCCAGATTTTGATGGGCTCCATTTCCCATCATCTCTTATCACTGGCTATGCTCTCAGACACACAGATATGAGTGAACAACTACATTTATTACAATAACACTCAGAGCACCAGTAACAGATTAACAAATGGACAAAATTAGAAATATATCCTTAAGTCCCAAACTTCCCTAAGGTGTAGATGTGCCAACTGATGGACCAGCTGAGAGCTAGTGTGGTGTAATGATTTGAATATTGCACTGGGACTGGACAGATCCAGTTCTGGTTCCCACTTCGCACTGAAGCTTGCATGGTGTCTCTGGACTAGTTCTGCATTCTCAGCCCAGTCTGTCTTATAGGGTTCTTGTGAGGATAAAGGAAAGGCAAGGGTAAC